GTTCAAGGTCAGCCTGGTCTACATAGCAAGTTCCAGGCCAGATGGGGCTACAGGGGGACCCTTACCCCAAAAGACCAAAAAAAAAAAAAAAAAAAAGACAATATCTCAATATCTACTTCTGGCCTGAAAGAAGGGGAATGGGACTCTTTGTAAAGAGAAATCTATTTTGATTCATAGTTCTGGAGGTTCCATTTAAAGCTGAGAATTCCCATTTGTTTGGCACATCATCATATCATAGCAGACCATGTGAGAGTGAATGCTGATATCATGAATCAGAAAGCAGACAAAGGGGAGGAGAGCGAAGAAGAGGAAGGCTCCCACAACCCCCTTTGAGGGCACACTCCCTATGATCTGAGGACCTCCCCATAGGAATGGCCCCTTAGAAGCCTATACCTCTCATTACCACCACCCTGGGGACCAAGCCTTTAATAATCAGGCTTTGGGGCGGGGAGCACTCATCTAAGTTATAGCAGCTCCCCTGGCAACAAGCTCTAACCAGAAACTATCCATGATTCCCCAAACTTGGTCACTTCACTAGCTTACAAAGCATGCTTATCACTTGCGAGTCCAAGAGTTTTAGGATCTCTATGCCAGTAAGGAGTGGGGGAAAACCCAATATGTAGTTCTTATTGTATACAATAGTCTTATGTATCAGGCTTCCTGCTAATGAATTATCTTTTTTACTTCAAGTGTTCAAAATGTCATTGTTTTTATTTTAGTTAGTTTTTCATTACTGTGGCAAATCCCTGAGGGAAAGAAGTTTAAGGAAGAACAACAGTTCCAGAGCTTTCAAAGGCAGAGGTTATAGTGACAGGAAGGTGGTAGAAGAGGCCACGTCATGAGGGCCAGTCAGCAGAAAGAGCAAGAAGATGAGGTGTAGCCTTCAAAACCATATACCCAGTGACCAACTTCCTCCAACCAGGCTCCAGTTTCTAACAGCTCATTTAGTTTGAATTCATTGATGAATTTAAGCTTCTGATGAAGTTAGTACCCTTATGATCCAATCATTTCTCAATAGTACAACCACCAGGCCTCAACACATGAGCCTGTTGGTGGGACACTATGTTTAAACCATAACAGTTTTCCCCTGTTTTCAAAAGGCCTATTGAGGCCTATCTTATATTGCAAAATTCATCAGTCCCTCTCTGAGAATCTCCAAGGTTTTAAAAGTTTCATCATTTCTCAAAAGTCTAATTTTAAAATCTTTTTGAGATTTGAGGCCTTCTGAAACAGATGCAACTGAAAAGAAACCAGAGCCTTTAGACTTCCCCTGCAGTAGGCATTGGGCACTTCTTCAAATATGTATGGGCTAATTAACCAACTATAATTCTATTCAATTTTAGGAACAATTTTGTAAAATTCTTAGAATTTTTTTCTAGAAATGCATAGGATGTATTAATTTAGAGATACTGCATGTTCTTATTCAAGAACATGATATATTTTGGATTTATTGAAGTCTTTTGTTTTCAGAAACAGTTTAATATTTTCATTAAGATATTCCACACACCTGTTAAATTTATTTCTAGTTACTATATAGGTTTTTATTGCTAGTATATATTTTAAAATTATATCTTCCAAATTATTTTGTTGACATATATAAATTTCAGTAACATTAATCGGCCCTTGTTCTAGCAACCACCTTTTTTCAGCCTTTATATACAGTGTTTGGATTCCTTTTGGTATTCTGCATAGATAATTATAAAACAGTAAATAACACTTTTATTCTTCATTTTCAGGGTTTTTACTATTTTCTCACTGTGCTACAAGTAAATGTTAAATAGGAATGGAGCATACTTGTTCCAAAGCTTCCCTCACCAGATTCTATCACTTTTCTTTGTCCCAACTTCAAAATGAACTGTTTTGTTATATCCACTAGCCAAAACTTGGATATACCAGCCCTTGCTGACTTAGACCTTCCTGTACACTTATGAATTTCCTAACAGCCTTATTCAGACAATTTCACTCAATAAAGGTGCCCAGTCATATATAAGACTTTTATTTGGGTGATCCACTTTTCTGTCTAGTGCAGTGTGTCTGGGTGATTCAAACCTTGTTATTCCTTTTGTACATCTATATTCCTTAAATGTATCATCATCCAGTCAGAGTTAATAGTCAGAAACCTGCACTCCTCTCTTGGTGTCCACACTAATCCATCAACATCTTGTCAAGTCTACCTTCTAAATATCTGCCCAATTATTATCACCCCTTCACTTCCAACAGCAATGATTGGTTAATAAACCCTCAGTATCTCCTACCTTAACTAGAGGACTAGTTTCCTAATTAGTCTCCTTACTTTCAGTCACATTCCTCACTTGCCATTCTTCTCACTACTGTCAAGTTTATCTTTCTAAAATACACCCCTCATCATGCCTCACCCAACTTAAAACACTATGCTCTTTGTCTACTGTATGATGTCCTGATTCTGGAGCTGGTCAAGCAAGGCCCTTTATGGGACCTGACTAGTTCTAATAGCCAAGCCTAGCAAAACTCAAGTGCTTGTAGTTTGTCTCAGCTGTTTTCTGGTGCTGTGATTTTAAATTTTATTTGTTTACTTATTTTGATTTTTGAGTGTTTTGCCTGCATGGATATAAGTGCACCCATGTTGTGCAATGCCCACAGAGATTAGAAGAGGGTGTCAGATCCCTTGTAACTGGAGCTAATGATGGTTGTTAGTCACTATGTAGGTGCTGGGAACCAAACCCTGGTCCTCTTCAAGAGCAGCCAGTACTCTTAACCATTGAAACATCTCTCCAGCCCCTGGGGCTGTGAATTTTTGTACATTTTGGTGTCTCTGCTTATGTGGTTCTGGCAAAATTTTATTCATTTTTAAACCCAGATCAGATGTCACTTCCTCTAAGAACTACAGATAGAATTAAGCAAATATTTGTTAAGTACTATCTCTATCATAGTCATTATGCTGGGTGTTAGGTATATAAAAGTGCAAAATCATAGTCTAAGTTTTCCAGTGTGGACTAACTACTTCTTCCTTTAGCCCTAAGTGCATGGTGCATGATTTTATTTACATGATTTCTTCTTTTTTTTCCCCCCATGGGAACCATTTTTTATTCTTGATAAATATATTTAGAAATAAATACTACATTGTTTTAAATACAGAAGTATATGCATGGTGTTCAGAAAACACACAGTGTTTGGAAATATTTGTGGATAAGGTTTCAAAGAAAGATGACTATAAATGATAAGATCACACCTTAGAACTTCGTAGTTAGACCCTGGCTCAGCCAGTTTCCTCCCCATTCCCTATTTATTGCATATCTTTTAAAGCTTCATGGAACAAACATGGAGAAATGGTTGCTCAGATGAGCAATCATTTTGTCTCTCTACCAAAGTGGAGGCTGAGGGGTATAGGATGCAAGTAGGGGAAGATTCAAGCTCATACATTTTAGACTTGGATTGAGAATTTGCTGAGAGGAATTCAAAATCCAGAAATCACACCAGTCCCTCAGGGTCATAGACACCCAACATACCCAGGAGTGGGTGTGCCAGAGTCTGGAGGGGGTTGAGTGTGCCCCGTCACTCACACTGTTGCCCCCTCCTGCTGCCATGGTAGGATTCAACCCTGAAAGGTCTGAGAGTTCCTACACACACTTCACCATCCACCATTTGCCACATACTTCCTGAATTTACTTCCCATTTTCTGGAAGAGAAGAAACTACAAGAAAAACATTTACGGTGAAGAGGCCCATTGGGGGAACCAGGACTCCAGGAGCAGGAGAGGAGGAGGGGCTGGGTTGAGAGCCCAAGTCAGATCCAGGGCAAGAATGTGCCTCTGGGAAGGGACAAGATGGGCACCAGCCTTACCAGTGAAGAGGACCTTTGAGCAGAGCAGGGCAGGAGGGGCGCTTAGAGAAGCAATGTGGCATCTAGTTCAGTGACCAGAGTGGGAGCCTCCTGAAGCTATGTCTAATGCATCTTTACAAAGCTATCCTAGAATAAAAAGGTAATGCTTGGGGTGGGGTTCTTACAGAAAACAAAGCAAAGTCAATGGAAATCCCCATAAGGGATTGGTATATAAACTGGCTTGCTATCTATTCATATTGCCCAGGTTGTATGTGACTTTCCAAGTTAATGTCTTGGTTGGTTCCTGAAGGCCAGTGTGCCTTCTCCCCTTTTCCCTTTAGTAGTTCAAATCCTGGTGTCCCCTCACCCACTTCCTGCTATGGAAGACAAGAGACTGGGATTATACCCTGGGTGACTGGGTAAAAAGAGACCTAGCTGTCTTTGCAAAGTCAAAGGTCAAAATCTTGGCCTTGAGCAGACTTAGTTCTGTTGAGTGGCTGCTGAACTACAATGCAGGATGGGAAAAAATAAGAACTATGCCAACACTAACCACATCTATGAATAGTGGGAGACAGTTTTGTTTTTTAATTTCCATTAGAGCATTCTGATTTTTCTATAGGCATAGGTTAATTTTATAATTGTGAAAAATTAAATTTATATCTCCGGCTTTCTTTACATTTATATCAACTTACTTTCTATAGTCTTTAATTTGAAAAAAACCAGAACAGACCTTATTTGTGAACATCTTTTGTGTCTTTTCAATGTATATGTATCAGGGGTGTGGGGAGAACAGCAACACAACCCAAGAAATACACGCTAGAAAGTTACATCCCCATAATTCTAGAACCAGAAAAAGAAAAATTTGCAAGGAGGGAGAACGCCCTAGAACTTTTCAAAGAAAATAACAACTTTTTTTTTGCGCGCAGGTGGGCGAAAGTGGCCTGTGACAGTGTTTCCCAGGCAGGAGGATCACCTGGCAGCCTGCAAGGAAGGCGGCGACAGGGAGGGCAGGTGCCTGCAGTCCCAGGGAGCCAGGGGCGGAGCAGGAAGCCGCGCTGGGCTTGGGCGGAGCCGCAGTGAGTGCCCTCAGGTGCGGGTGGCCTGGGTGGTACCTGCGGGAAGCGAGTGGGACGCTCCTGGCGCTCAGCGCCCAGCGAGGGGAAATCCGGGCTCCGCAGAGATGCACACCCCGGACCGGTGGCTGATGAAGGACACCGTGGCCCGAGGCCCTTGAGCTACAAGCAGCCCAAGAGGTGCCAGCATGGGCCGCGAACTGCACGCACCTTGCCTGCTACTCCTCACCTGGCTCCCAGCAGGTGAGCCCTGGAAAGCAAAAAAAGGTCCCACCCTGGGTCCAGCAAGACAGGAAGCCATTATGGGTTGGCCTCGCAGAGCTGGCCACCAGCAGGGCAGTGGAGGCCTGGGCCGCGCTCCGGTGGCGCTTGGCACAGGCAGGGACCAGATCGAGTTTCTGCCTATGGGAACCTGTTGTTTTCCTGTTTTATTAGCCCAGGGCCCTCTGAAACAGATGCACTGAGAAGAAACCAGAGGCTTTAGACTTACTCCTGCAGTAGGCATTGGGCACTTAACCGCTGAAACCGAATTGATAGCTACAAAAGCACCACTTTTCAATTTTCTAATCACTTTTTCCCATGGTTTTCAGAGTGTAAATACAGTGACAACCATATAAACCCAGAATGTATTTATGTCATGCCTGGAAAATCAGACTGCGTCATTAGGATATGAAGTAATGTTCAGCATAATTCCAAGTCCATTTTACAGGAACCCCCCCAACCCTACATGTGGGCCTCTTACTCATTTTTCTAATTTATTTGTGTCCACCTTCCCTTTCTCCTCATTATCTCCCCTTCAGGACCCTAATCACTCACTGCCTCAGCTTCCTCTTTTCAAACCTCCACTCTAATTCCCACTCACTTGAGACAGCACAGATTTGTGTATCTCGGGGTGCGGGATACCAAGGAATGGTGTGAAGATTCTCATCCCTGTTCCAATTACGGTGTATCTACCACTCTGCATGCAAGAATTTTTAAGTTCTCTTGGAAGTTTCACCCTGTTTAATTCGACTCTACCCTCACACTTCTTTCCTTTTAGGAACAAACTGTCCTCTTACCTCTGTTGTCCATGGAAGGCCAGTTCAGAGCTTGTTCACAGACAATTGTATATCTTTTGAGAGCGGAGGATATAGTATGAAGATAGAGGCTGACTTTCTTTCCTATAAGCTTGACAGAGTAAGAGAAGTGCTGAGCAATAACTCTCACTCAGGATTCTACAATACTGAAGCTTAATTGCTAAGAATAAAAGAGAGGGAGGGATGGTTGCAAAAAGGTAAGGAAAGGAGAAAGCTGGTATTGTCAAGGCCTGCTGGTTTGAGAGCAAGATTTTATGCCAGATGTCAAGTTTATAAATTGTCTGAAACTAAGAAGACAAAATATTGAACATCCAGGAGATGCAAAGAAATGGACAAATCTCTCCTATATTTTAGTACTGCGATTCCACCAGAATAATTACCAGCTTAGACCTTGGCCCAAATCTGCAAATCCTGGAGCAAATCTCCTGTGTGTTGTATGTTCTTCTCTGAGCCCATGGCAGCTGGGAACAAAATTCCCATTTGAGTTGTCTTTGGGGGAAAACAGAGGCCTGTGTCTAGAGCATTCTTTCCTTCAAATTAGAACTTTAGACATAGCAGTCATCTGGAATAGAATAAGAAAACAGAGATGAAAATCCCACTTGGGCAATAAAGTCTGGGTCTTTAGGTCCTTAAATCAACAGCTATCCATTTTTTTTAATGAAGAATTTAAACAATAAACTTTTTCAAATAAGACTTTAGAAGACCTGGTTTCAAGTATCTGAGCCAACCACACAATGTGAGTAGCTAGGACCTGAAATTAGCTTAGTACTAAACCTTTGTACAGACTGTGGTGTTTGCCTGGCATTCCTGAAGTGGAAAGAAATCTGCCTGTGTCTTAGAGTACTGAAAGTGAAGAAATCTTCAGTGACTGTCTAAATTAACTTTCATTTCATAGATGAGAAACTGAGATTTCTACTGATTGACCCCAGTGCTTTGCGGGGAAATAGCTACTTTAACAGATACTGTCCCTGAGTGTGGGTAGAAATAGGTGATACTGCTTTCCACCATTTAACATGGGTTTGAAAAGATGATGTTCTTGTATGACCTTGTTTAATTTACTGGAATGTTCAAACCCTCCAGTAAATGGAGATGAAAACAGTACACACTACATAAGGTTTTTGTAAGGATTAACTAAACTGAAGATTTTTAAGTACTTTATTGTTTGTACAAACAGGGAGGTCTTAATAAATATTAGCCATGGTGGTAATACTAGCCATGATTTGGACTCTAGTAGGATTGTTTAAAGCTAGCCTTAAAGAAACTGACTCCTTCTTCCCCTGTGGCTAAGAAACTGAATTAACAGTAAAGATAACTGAGCTTTCTGTTACTGTGACAAAATAACTGAGATAATCAACTTGAAAAGAGAAATGGTTTGTTTTGGCTCATAGTTTTGGAGTTTTCAGCCCGTAGTTGGTTAGCTCCATGGCTTTTGGACCTGTGGCAAGGCAGTACATCATAGTGTGGGTATATGGCAGAAGAAAAGGCTCACCTCAGTGGCCAGGAGTGGACAGAAACAGGATAAGGTCACCGTCCCAATATCCCCTTCAAGGGCACTGTTCTCATGACCTCCCTCCAGCCTCCACCCCTTAAAGGTTCCACACACCTGACCCCTGCCCGCCCCACCCAACAGCACTGAGCTGTGGACCAAGCCCTTAACACATGGGCCTCTGGGAAACACTCCAAGCCCAAACTCTAGCAATGACCATGATGTTGGAATTTGGAGTCTGCCTCTCAATAGCCATGACCCTGGATGAATTACTTCAACTCCTCCCATCTAGAAAATGGGTTAAATCCCTGCTAAACTTCTTCCTACCCCTGCTGCTCCCACATTCAGCCGGGCCAGCTCATGTGGGGTGGGTTACACTCATGCACAGTATCTGTGGCATAGTATTCACTCAGGAAAATTCTGGGAAAGAGTCCACCCACTGCCCTAAACTTTTTCTTCACTTTTAAACCAAACTTCACAAAATTCAGATAAAACTGAAGAGACATTTCTTGTTTGCAGCATCTCGTAAAACTAGGCTTAAAATTTCTCCACAGCTTCCAGTAACAGTTGACAATATGACACCTATGTATGCGAGGTTTACAAGGTAGAAAGGAAAGGTTCACAAAATCTGTTACTATATCAGATAAAATGGTAATTAATGCGAAATGGTATTGATATTTAAACTCAGAGAAAATTACCCCCACATTAATACCAACTAAATAGAAAACTCCAGTAAGTTAGTTTTCTGAAGACCAAATTGCAATATGTATTGGAAAACTCTGTACTTAAGTGTGTCCATCAACTTGTTCCATTCTGCTTGAGTCAGCCCATCTCTCTGATTAGCATCCAAGTTCCCACATTTGCTAAATGTGGGCCAGTGGTAGAACTGTGGCCTGTTTTGTTCTTGCTGGCTAGTGTGACTTGAGGTCCCAGAGGAAGGTTCTGAGGTCAAAAAGTCTTGTGAAATTCTCATAGTCACTATGATCTGAGCTCTGTAAAGATCACTTGCCGGTGTGGGAACTTTTGTTTTGTTTTTCTCTGAAGTTTTTTTACTTAGAAATAGATTTTTATCACATAAATGATATCTGTTTCTTGTTCCTTAATGCAAAATATTAACACACGGCTAAAGTAAGTGCTTTCTAGCACTTTGCATTGTTTGGTCGACTTTGCCCAAACTGAAAGTTTATTCTTGGAATGAAAGTTTAGTTTTCTCAAATTCTAAAAGGGTGTGTGCCATTTGTGCTTTTGTTTAAAAAAAAAATTAACATAGTAGAATAGGATTACCTTAAGAGAGCTACCCGCTACCCACCTACATCATTACTCTTTGGGAAATCAAACAGCTGATCCCTAAAGGACAAGATCTTTAGACAGAGCATCAGTAATTTCCCCTAGGTGGTAGGGGTAGAAGGCTAGATCATACTTAGACTTAGTGAAATCTTATAAAAATTCCCAGTACAGTAGACAGTGACTGTAGACAGTGACGTAGAGCCTCTCAGGGTGAGGGACCATATGTTGTAGGAGAGCGCCCACTCAGAACCTCCTTTGTCCTCTTGAGGGCTCCTGAAGTGCCTCCCAGAATTCCCATTCCTGTTAAACACAGGTAGAAATCACTCCATCCCCCATCTTCCCCTTCCATTTTATGGATAAAGAAATCTGGATCCAGGGAACTCCTGTGTCTTACATTGTTAGAATGCAATTCTTTTGAGAGCTGGGACCAGAACTCTGACATCCTCACTCTTTGTCCACTGTTCTTTTCCCTGTTTCACACAATGGAACAGGTTGGTTTGGTTTAGTTGACTCCTGATACACAGAACTAGAACTAGATAATTAACTCCTTAATGTCTAACTAAATGCTAGTCAACCATCTGGCCTCTTCAGCTACACAGTAGAATGAGATAATTAATGTGCCTTCTACCTGGGTTTATTTTAGCTTAATTTGTTTTGTTATTTGAAGTCCTTAGGGAAAATTAAATTGTGTGTTTTCAGAATTACAAAGATTCTCACCATATCTAATTGCTTCTAGATCTTTCAGTTTGCAAATGTTGGGGTAAGGCAGGGTCAGGGAATAGTAGTTTTGATACTTTCTTCATTTCCCGTTCTTAATCAGCAAGTTCTGTCGATTATTCCCAGGACTAGCTTCTTTTTTATTCTAGGTACCAGTACGCATACTAGCCCATTTTGAGTACCATCTCCTGGCCTCTAGGCCTGCTACCTCTCTACTGTCAACAACCCTTTACCTGCTCTGGAGCAGTATCTGGCTTAGAGTAGACACTCAAAAATAAATGCATGTGTGCGGTCTGGTGGGGCCCAAATTTGCATATGCTCTGAGATTAGCATGTGGGGTCATGAATCACCAACCTGGGCAAATGACTTTGGGAAACCCCAAGTATTTGCCCCTCAAACAGGTCTTGTCCTTTCCCACTAGTAACCAAAGGAATGCCAAGTTCAAATCACCTGAGTGGTGGTTTTTTGTTGTTGTTGTTTTTTTCCGTCTAGTAGGTTTTCATCAAAATTTTTTGAAGATCGAAAGTTTCCCCCCTTTAGAAAGATTGTGGTGAAGCACAGTAATGTCCTTCACTATTTATGGGAATATACATTTCATTTCTGAAGTAGCTATTAAAATATAACCAGTATATTCCTTTGATCTGCATGTAAAGGGATAATTACATAAACATATTCAT